AAAAATGCATCGAGAAAAGTCTATTCCGTGTGATAATGGAGTGGTATACGAAATTCCCCTGGAATGTGGTTTTAAGTATGTGGGTCAAACGTCGAGGTGTATAAATGATAGATTGACTGAACACAAAAGAAATGTCAAAAACAACGCGACTGATTCGGAAATAGCGAAACATGTTCAAGAATGTAATAATTGTATACCACGCTGGTCCGAAACAGAAATAATACACAGGGAACTAAACGACATCAAAAGGGTTGTAAAGGAAACAATAAGAATGAAATCAATGGGCAACTGCATTAGTCAAGTGTCGTTACAGCTTAGCAGCAGTGCAAAAACCTTCTTGCGGATTTGAGAGTTTTGTTAAGTGGTTGTTGTTTGTGAAAGGGTGTAAGTGGTTTCCTCCTTTGTGTCTTCGGTTTGGATCAGGTGGTTTGGTATCTTTTGTTGCCGGGTTGTTTCGGGTTTGTGGGCCGGGGAGGAGAGGAGGAGGGTGTGCTATGTACGCGAAGGTCGATCGTCTTCCGGGAGAGAGGAGCTAGGTTGTGTTGGTGAGGGGGCTTTGTAGGATTGTCAAGATTGTAGGATTGACAAAATATATGGTAAGTTACAAGTAATGAAAATAGATGAAGAAGGTTCCAAAAGTCTTGGTAGTGATCACAAACGTATTAAGCTGAATTTTGCCAGAGAAGTAAATCCTGAAACTAGACAACATAATTCAAAGCAAACTTTCTGCAGCGACAAAGAGTTGGAAATAGTTGTTGAAAGAATAGAGGCAGCAGTTTCAGGGCACCGGCATACAGATTGGACCTATGAGAGCCTAACTAGGCTTTTTGCTCTAGAACTAGACAAAGTTAAGAGTAAACGAAAGGGGAAGCAAGGACATAGACCAAAAAGCTGGTGGGACAAAGAAGTGAAGCAAGCGATACAAAAACGTCAGGAAGCCTCTAGAGAACACAGGTATTCCAAGCGTAGTGGGGAGTCCGAAACGGAAGTAAAAAGAAAATGGGACAATTTTATAACATGTCGCCGAGAGGCATCCAGTTTGATCAATGCGAAAATTCAGAGAAAGGGTGAGGAATGGATGAGTAATGTAAGTAAGAAAGATAGAAACACTGCCAAGAAGTTTTGGGAGCACTTGAACTCGCTCGGTGAAACAACGCAAGCTAGACAGAGGTTCATACTCTCGCATCAGGGAGATCAATTAGAGGGAGATGATGCGATACAATATATAGGAGCAGTGATGGAGGAGAAATTTCGGGAACGGGTACATGTGGAAGATAGGAGAACCGAAGGAAGTAGCAGTCCAGTTTGTGACATCGCGGATTTTGGAAAAAGAGAATGGGAAAAGGCGGAACGAAGAGTCCCTAGTGGCACGTTGACAGGCACAGATGGTATCCCTATCAAGCTGGTGAAGAATTTGGGTCCTAAATCTAAGGCAAAACTAAGGGAGGTAGTGAGTACCATGATAACAAAAGGAAATATTCCAGATGAATGGAGGCTTAGTAGGATGAGTATGATATATAAGGGAAAGGGAGATAAGTCTGATATTAGGAATTATCGTCCTATAACCGTGACACCGGTTATTTACAGGTTGGTAATGCAGATTATAAAGAACAGACTGGAGGAATGGGTAGATTGCGAGGGCATACTGGGCGAATTACAGAACGGGTTTCGAAAACAAAGAAGGTTGGAGGATAATTTATTTTCTCTAACACAGTGTATAGAAATAGCGCAAAAAGAAAACAGACAGCTCTGGCTGGCATTTCTGGATATCAAGGGTGCCTATGACAATGTGAACCAAAGAAACCTGTGGGACATAATGGAGAACTTAAACCTAGATGAAGGACTAACAACACTATTAAGGAACATTTACAAAGATAACAAGGTGATTATAACATGGGAAGGAAAGGCGACAGGGAAAATAGAGATAAGACGAGGCCTTAGGCAGGGGTGCCCGTTATCGCCTTTGCTGTTTATGTTGTATCTGAGAGGATTGGAGGATAGACTAGAGAAGAGTGGGCTTGGGTTCAACCTTTCTTACAGTAAGCTAGGCCAAAAAATTCAGCAATCCTTACCGGGATTGATGTATGCGGATGATATTGTACTAATGGCTAACAACAGGACAGAGTTGCAGGAATTAATGAGCATTTGTGGTAGGGAAGGAGAGGAATTAGGTTTAGAATTCAGTAGCGAAAAATCGGCAGTCATGATTTTTAACGAAGATGAAGTTGAGAGGCTGAAGATACAGAATATTACAGTTGAGAGAGCTAGTAAATACAAGTATCTAGGAGTATGGATATGTGATGGTGCAGAATATCTCAGAGACCATGAAAAGTATATAATAGGTAAGGGCAACAGAAATGCAGCTGTAATGAAAAATAGAGCACTTTGGAATTACAACAGGTATGAGGTGGTGAGAGAGATTTGGAAAGGGGTCATGGTGCCTGGCTTGACTTTTGGAAACGCAGTGCTATGCATGAAATCCGAAGTGCATGCGAGACTAGAAATAAAACAGCGCGGAGTAGGTAGACTGGCTTTGGGGGCACATTGCAAAACGCCAAACCAGGGAGTACAAGGAGACATGGGATGGGCATCATTTGAGAGCAGGGAAGCGGTGAGCAAGGTAGAATTTGAGGATAGGTTGAGGCAAATGGACGGGGAGCAATGGGCACGAAAGGTTTTCAGCTATTTATACATGAGGAGTGTAGACACAAAGTGGAGACAGCGCACTAGGAAATTAAGAGGAAAGTTTTTGGGCTATAGCGAAGATACGGAAGAGCAAGTCTCAGTTAAGAAGAAAGTTAAGGCCACAGAAAGAGATTGGTGGCTAGAGGGAATGCAGACAAAGACGGCTCTGGAAAGCTATAGATTAAACAAAAGAGTTATTGCCAAAGAAAGCATTTATGACAATTCTAGGGGAAGCTCATTGCTGTTTGAGGCAAGAACGGGTGTTCTGCGAACCAGAACATACAGAGTGAAGTACCAGGAAATTGATACAGTGTGCACTGCTTGTGGAGAGGAGGACGAGACGGCTGAGCACTTGATACTCTACTGTAAAGGGCTCCACCCTATGCCTACCGAAGACAACATAGATTTAATAAAGTCATTGGGTTTTAGAGGCAGCGAAGGGAGAGTGGATTTCAAGACTGTAGAGATTACCAAGCAAAGATTAAGTGAATGGTGGCAGAAATCGAGAGAAAACTAGGTATTTTCTTATCCACTGATAGCAAGGGGGTTTCATAGCCTCACTTTCTTTGCACTGCGGAGTGAATATAGATTTCACATTTAAATATTCTAAGCTTAAATGGTAAAACAAAATGGCTAGGTGGCGTAAGCTACCGCCCGATCCAAAGGGCTCAGCCGTATTCATCCATCCATCCATCCAAGGACGTTTGATTATTGTGGTGGAAAGAGATGAGTTCTTTGTTATATTTTGGCTTTGGAGGTCGCGAAGGTTCTGTGGTGAAGATTGTGGAGTGTATATAAGAGGGTGACCGAATAAACTTGTCTTTAGCTGTGTTAGAGACGTATCCTCGACTGTTCCTGTTTCTTCTACTTTGAAACTTCCTCTTTTCCTGCCTCAGTCTCAGGCTAACATCAGAATGGTTAATTTCCACCAGCTCGCCTGCGCACTCACTACAATATCATTGCTATTTAGGAATCTGTTAATACGTCTCAAAATTAGTTTTCTTACTTTTTCTGCCGGTGGACCAGAAACACTACTCTAGGTTTGTGTTTCTATTCTGACGGCATGTCATAGATCGCATTTAAACAAAAATATATGGGCAAGCATTTCGTTTCTGTACCTTTTTAAGAGTGAACGAAGTATGGAACCTTCCCAAAAACGGGCTCCTGGCCGGTCCATTTTCAGTGTTCGTGCGCATGGCGCGCGATTTTCTTGCTTTGGGAAGCGACGAACTTGCCCGTGTTGGGCTGAGAAGATAGCAAGCTGGTCTGAGGACTTGTAAATATTTGAATGAGGTATAGGCAGCACGAAATAGTTATAGCCGACACAGGCAAATGCCTGCCTCAAGGCAGTCCTTGCTTCAATTACTGAAATCCGCCTTTGCCCGCAGGAAGAGGGTGACACGCTTGAAATGTAAATGAAATGAATCACATACGCGTACTTTAGAAACGACGTATAAGTATTAGTGAAAAGACTAAGTGCGCAGGAATGCGCCCTGGTGGCAGGTAATCATGTCGTTTAACATCTGAGACTGGTACATAAAAAGAAGAAAACAAAACTTTAGTCGATAAAAGAGACACAGGAGGAAGCGTCTCAAGGCGTTCCCTTCTCTGTCTGTTCCATCGTCTAGAATTTTTTTCCCTCCCCTGCATCACTGCCTCAGGTGTTAAACGAGATGATTTAAAAATGTTAATGGCAAAAATCTAGTCAAGAAAGAAATAACGCTAACAACAGGCAAGGCTTGCGTCTGCTGAGCGGGATCGCCTGAAACGTTGGTAGTTTCCGCCCTCTGACCCAGTCACATTAAAATAAAATCGCTCGTGTGGCTATTTCAGTCGCCGGGAAAAATAGCCGCAACCTCCAGCAAACCGCCCCAGGCGTTTATGCCAGGAGTTTGAATAATACACGAACGCAGAGAGCTTGTATTTATGAACGTAGTTTTGTTATTTTATTGAATTACGAATCACGTGTGTGAAACGAGAATTGGCTTTGTTATTGAGCAATACTATTTCGGTCACTGAACAATCAATGTTGCATTGCAGGTGTTGGCGCAGCGCGCGCGATTCGCGCGATTTGCTCGATCGCCCATCGTTCTCCTGACATCTGATATTAGGTCTTCCCATCTCTACCATACAAGTCTCAAGCCTTGTTCTCATGGTGGGATTTCTCTTACTATTTCGCAGTTGCGACGTCACTCGCGTGGCGAAATGAGCGCAGTGAAGGGTGCGGTGCACAACGCAGCATTTGCGAAGTCCCTAGAATATTCGCGTCATGTAAATCAGGGTTTAGATTTACATTGGTGAAATAGTTCGCTTACCAAGCATAGACATGAGCTTGGGAAGTGTCGTGGTGTTCAGCAGTTGAACGAGAAACAGCGTCCCAAGCCGCACAAACCGCTCCTGCAAGTAGATGGACTACGTAAGCAAACCAAAAAAGAAAATTCTGACATTTTGTTTACGGACAGTAACTGAGAAAGAAGAGAAGTTATAAGCTCATAAGAGGGGCGAGACTGACTGCGGCTTGCCACGGGGAGCACCTTTTGTAGCCGCGTGGGTCTCTGGAACATTCGGCCTAGAACTTTCGGCGCTTAAGAACATTCGTTACTCTATCAGACAAGAAATTTCTCGAATTTGCGAGAACGCCAAGTAAAAAGAATAAATAAAAGAACATTCCGCTGCCTGGTATCGAACCCACATCTTCCGCACGAGAGTCAAGCGCGGTAACCACTCGGCCACTTAGGTGCTCACTTGCCGACGTGTGTGGCAATATAACCAAAATCGCCTTTTTTTATGTGCTTCTTATCGGGTATGCTCAGCCGCTATTAGTAAGCAAACATGATTTGTCAGAAGTAATTGGCCTTTGAAACCTCGTGCTGTCTTAGTCATCTCTATACTTAATCCGCCTCAGTGGTAAAGCAGATTCTGGTGCCTCATGTTCACCCGTATTCGGTACGCCGACGCTGAAAATAACAAAGATCTACTATAAAATTAACTGCAGAAGTTCTTGACATAAGGATGTAATGGAATTAGGTATTAAATATGAGTATCAAACTATAATTTACGCAGTAAGGCAAGGAAGCAATGTGAAGCACGACGAAAACATGAATACAATGCATCCGCCAAGTCGCGGAGGAGTGCAGATCTGTAGGTTGAAGTAACCTAATGGCGGCCGCGTCTTTAAGGTGGCAGAGCCCATTCAACGTAGGCCGCGAGCTATTCCAGAGTCACCATCTCAGCCAATCCAGCACCACTTGATCAAGAGGTTTTGGAATCCCAAGACAAACCGGGACAGTTGCAAACGCTCAGTGCTGGATTGAGTCTAATGGCTTGTGGCGTCCGTATGATACATATCGGCTATTCAGTGGGCCATTTATTATGTGTTTTATCAAGACATGGAGTTCTGCACCTCTTGGCAACTGTGCATGCCCTTGCCATGACATATACCTTCCGTTTTAGAGCGCAGCTATTAGGCGGCCTTTTCCGGCTTGAACGGCGTCGCCGTCGCCGTCGGCGTAACCGCACGTTACATTATGGGACATTTCTCATAATGACGTCACACGTGATATAACGCGTGACGTCACGACAGTCACTAAGGTCACAAGTGACGTCACGACGGTCACTAGGGTCACAAGTGACGTCCCAAAGGTCACGATGAAGGTCACGACCTTCACATTGAAGGTCACGACCCTAACGCGACCTTCACGAGACCTTCACGAGTGACGTTACGAGGGTCACTAGGGTCACGAGTAACTTTACGAGGGTTACGAGTCACGTCACGATGGAGGAGGGAGAGAGGGGGAGGTTGAGGGGAGGAGGAAGGATGGAAAAGGGGAGGAGAATAAGAAGAGGAGGAGGGAGCACGAAGATGAAGGGGAAAGGGGAGAGGAGGAACGAGAGGAGGGGAGGAGGAGGAGGAAGGAGGGGAGAGGGAGGAGGAGAAAGAGACGAGAAGGGAGGAGGAGGAGGAAAAAGGGAGGGAAAGAGGGTACGGAGGAGGAGGAGGGGCATACCTTCATCTTCGTACCCTCTCTTTCTCCTCCTCGAGTGCTGTGCTCTAATTCGGTATTACAGCGAATTGTAAACGTCTTTCATTTTTTTTGTTTCCTCTTATTCTTATTATTTCAATTGTACATTACTGTAGCAGGTAAAGTTATTGCCATTTTAGAATATACTCGTTACTTCTTCCCAGCATTGGGAAGAAGTAACAGTGACTCGGTATCTCGGTAAGACAAGAGAAAGTCAGCAATGGCGGCTGTAATCTGGCACGTGTCTGAAGCGACACTGGACGCCCTATTTGAGGCCGATGTTTATACACCATTCACCTTTAGGCTGATACAAGATGCTCTGCCTTTAGCGCGTGCTCGATGATTCCGCAGTGCTTTGGCTGCGCGTGTCTGTGCGTGCATACATTTGTTAGCAAGGAAAGAAAGCTGGCGGTGAAGGCGGAGCTTCTAGTTTCAGTTTAATGGTGAAAGGAGTATAGACGCTTTCGGGCAGCTGTGCATGGTCGCCGCCATAAATGGCCTTCAGTTTTTGTTCCCTCTTATTCCGTTCGCTTCACGTCATCATTACCACAGCAGGACAGGTAACTGCCATCTTAGTTGTTACAGTGTCCTTCTCCCCAGCATAGGCCCTTGCGGAGACTCGTCAACGCCAGCTTCAGTGGCTGGACATCTCAGTAAGACAAAAGAAGGTCGGCAATGACGACTTAATCTGGCGCGCGCCGAAAGCGCCTATAATGAGTATGCGGAGAATGAGTCCACATTGATAGCACATTATACTTCGTCTTCCTTAGGATGTACTATTCATATCGGCGCATGCTAAAAGCGCGAGATGTTGCTTTTGATGACGCTTCGGCGGCTGCATTTGCTTGAGTGGAGTGAGCGTTCAAGTTCAGGCAATCAAGGCAGGGTTTCCTGCCGGCTGCCTGTGTGCCTTCCGTGATGAGTTCGGTTCTGTTGTCCCGTGCCGAGTGCCAACCGGCGTTCAACGTGATTCTGTATTTCTGCGTGTCAGCAACATCGTCAACGTGGTTCTGTATTTCTGCGTGTCAGCAACATCGTGATGGCAGTGTTATGGGTTGTGAACAGAAGACTGGAATTATCGCCGATGTGACCGTGTGTTCGCGTATCAGTGGTGTAACAACAAGATGAGATGACGTAAACTGTCGGGCATTGATGCCGCTGGTCGGGCCGTGATCGGAGGGGGCGCGGTGTCGCAGGATGACATTCCGCTTTACATTAAAGAGTTTAAGAACACTTGACGGATTAGGTGCAGTCGATCGGCGCGTGGATAGTCATGTTGGAACGCTGGTCTGAACGGTAAGCTCCTATCGTGCCGTGGCCGATGTGACTGTCGGTCCCCGAGAGCGATCGCGCTCTGGAAAAAAGACTGAATAGTACGAAATTATGACGGAAAGTGCGTATATTTACAGTGGAAGTTTAGCATAAAAAAAAAGAAACAGGTAAAATCGAAAAAAAACGCTATCCTTTATTTTACTGTTTAAATATACTACGGTTTCTGTAGAAACTACCCTCCAAGTGGCGCGATGGGATGTACGCTAGAAGTTTTCGAGCTCGCAACGGCGTAGCTCCGTACACTTAACATTTGCCACAAGTCGCGGCTTTGACTGCATTCAAGTTGATCGAAAAGCGATTTCTCTGCCCGTGAAGCATCACTTCCAGCTGAGTGAATATTCGCTCTACAAAGATTAATTCAAGACGGCAATTGCAGCCGCGCGCGAACAGCACAAATAGAAAAACAAACACTACAATAGAAATACTGGCTACAAAGGGCCGTGCGGGAAACGAAACTCATGGCTTGGAACCACATTGGAGCGGCTCGATTTATTGGCTTTCAAATAATTACGGCATGATCGAGCGTTTTCTTTTTAATAAAAGGTTCATCCCTTGAGCCATTAAAAATAGTCTTAGATGTACGACATTGCTGGAAAAAAGTGAACGTGCTCGGAATATTTGTTATTGCTTAGGAAGTCACCGAAAAATTCCGTACGTTGAAAACGACCAGTATAAATGACGGAAACGCAAAGCTCCGGAGTAGTGATCGGTATAATGTGTTGGAGGTTTCCGAAGAAAAGGAAACGCAATTGTGGCGTAAGAAAACAGAAATATTTTTTGTAAAACATGAATTGGGCGGTACCTAGCGCCACCTAGCCTAGCTACTTGCGATTACTCCGCTTGACCCTGCCATCTGGTGGCAAGCGATTTAACATCCTTTTATGCTACGCGGCTACGCCATAATTTCGTGTTACCGTGCTGAGATAAGCGAAGAGGTTGCTTCGGATTTGCTTTTTTTTTTTTAGAGCGGCTTTTGGTTTTGCGGGCGAATGGTTTTCACTCCTCCGTGATGTGCCGTTGACGCAACGGTTGACGAAGGAATTGTGGCTCGAGGAATAACAAAGGTAAGACATAAAGTGCGCGAACTGGGTGCCGGTTGTCTCCGTTGAACATCGCAGTGCTGACGATGAGAAGACTGAGTGACTGCATGCTTTCGAAACGTAAGTTTCTTTACCTGCAGGGGAACGCCGGCTTCGGAAATAAATACAATTCGCGAAAAGCTCGTGTTACGTTTTTATTTGCTGCTCCTCTCTCTCCGTGCAATAGACTTAGCGTTTTCGTTAAGCCTTATCGAGCTCGATTTGCTCGATTGATTTCCCCCATAATGAGATGCAGTCGACGGAGGAACTTTTGCTCCTCTGCTTAAGGGACGAAAGTTTCTTCCTTTCTGAAGGAACATATCTATCAAGAGCGTTCCTCCCTTTAGGGAGGACTATACTGTTCCTTTTTTCTAAGAGTGCACTATTTCACCATAGGTGCAAGCGAAGCCTAATGCACGAGCGCAGTGGTTCAATGGCCTCCACCGACGTCACATCAGATGCCATTCTGGTGGCCTTGCTGCTGAATATGGATCTCTTTCAGCGTAAACTGTGCACTCTGGGTATTTCTTTTTTTGTGCAGGTAGTAGAATGCACACAGGCATGGGGTACAAGGACGTTTAGGCAAGCAATATATAGCGTCAACTCTGCCGAACTTGCGTCTTTTTTACTTTTGAGCTTCGCAACGCCGTAGAATCAAGGAGCTGAGTTGGGTGACCACATTCACGCTTGTCACGAGATCATCATCAACGCCAGCCTTCGTTGAGGGGCGTACCGAATATATATATATATATATATAAAAAACATGACATGTTTTCCCAGATAACTGATTAAATATAATGTGGCCTGAGCACTCACGTTGAGATATGCCACAGCGCATCTTTTTTGCGCAGACATAAGACGGGCAAAAACATGAACGATATGCGAAGCGGTCGAAAGTAGCTAGGGAAGCCAAATCAGCGCTGTCAGCTAGCCGCTCAATAAAATTTACGCTTGGCGTTTCTTAGAAGCACCGACAACTATTTTGTGCGAACGCGAGAGACACCACGAGACCACGGCCGAGAGCCGCACTGCAGATTCCTTTCAGGTCCAATCCATAGTCGCTCATTTTAGTGTTGCACTGCCATTTGTTTCCAGTTGCCGCACGACGCACGGGCTCGTGGACTGGCATATTGGATGTTTTGGCGGCGCTTCGAAGACGAGGAAACATATCAAGGGGCTTTATTGAGGGCGTGTGACTCTTCGGTGTAGTCAAGGGACTCGTGAAGCGTGAGGTTACGTGGTACGTGTTTACCGCCAGATTGACTGCATAGGTCGTGCATCGGCCGCGGTTACTGTGAAATTGAGAGTAAAAGCTCGTCGCGCGGCAGCGAGACACAGCCCGTTGTCATGGCATGACTACGCCTTACATGCGTCGCCTCTCATTGGTCCTAGTTTTCGTGCGCTGCAGCAGACAAAAATATCACAGACCATCCCCTTCAAAACGGCAAAACCAATTCCGGCGATATAAAACAAAGGACTTCTGCCGCGAGTCGCCGTCCGTGAAAGCTTGTGAAAACAGTAACAACCAGAAATACTCCGGCTTGGGGCATTTGGTGCTGGCGTCGCCATCTCGTGGAACCGATTGGGAACAAATCTAGCGAAAACTATCCTGTCAAGTTTATTCGCTCAAATACGAATATACCAAGACTTTTAGACTTCTCTGAAGGATATTAAAAGTAAGATATGAGACATCTGTAGTACGTACTACCAATTGTTTTGACACGTTCATAATTTAAGTACTTTTAGTTTTAAAATTGCCTCAAATGAACTTAAAACAGTGAAAATGGTCATAATTCTGGATTTTAATCAAAATCTCCAGAACTATCAGGGGACAATCCTAGGGTGAAACGACCTTAATTACATATTCATAATAAACCCCAAATATTTTCAATACTCTGGTGCATTGTAACAGGCTGGAGCTGAGCTAGCTGGCTCATACTTCAGGTAACGCTAGCTGTACTAGAAAAGAGCCCACACATAAAGAGAAAACGTTACTGAAGCAAGAACCAACTAGCTCAGCTCAAGCCTTTCACAGAGTAACTTTCTAGTTCTCTGAGAACTTCTTACCAGCGGTGTGTATGGTGCTTTCTTTATGCGTATGCTTTTTTTTTTTTCTGGTGAATTCCTAAAACTCAGGATTGTGTAGCGAAATTTTCTTATTGAATGACGAGCGGGCGAATCCCCTTAAGGCGTGGATGGCAAACAATTAAAATTTGAGGCATGTTTACAGGCGCCGCACTATGTTGAATCTTTTCAGCCAAAACACGGCGCCGCTGTATTCTGGTTCTCGGTCCGCCGGAAACAGCCTGCGGTGTGTTTTTTTTTTTTTTTTTTTCGAAGAAACAAATGTGCTTTGAGCGGCCACAATGACATGGATGTCTGGTGGTGATGATAACAAGCCACTGTCGCTGACAGCGATATACGGCCAGGGGGACATCATGTGGGTGGACATCATGCGCGAGGCCCGATGAACGGGAATCGCGGCTTGTGTCAGCTGGGCCTCGCTTACACCCTCCACGCGGCACTATGTCATCGGTCGCGTGCGCTGTGAGGTCAAACAGCTGCGTTTTTTTGCTCACGCTCTCCTATGGGCTTGTTACGGTGCGAACCACAACCGGTGCGAAACACGGTCTAAGATATACTGGGTTTCGTTGTTCATGACCTCGAAAGAGCACATACATGTCTCCAGCTTTCTTTACCAACTTCCGCCACGCCTCCTGCATCTGCCGTGCACTCCACGGAAAGTTGACGATATCTTCCCATGCCCGTCTCTTCGTTCGGCAGGTAACTGTGCTGTGCAAATTTCTCTAGAATTTGTTGTTTCCGTTTTCCAACTGCTCGAATTAATTCTATTTGTTGATCCGATGTCATTTGAGGTGTTTGCGTTAGAGAGATGGTTTGCGATGGTTTGCGCCTGTTTCATTATTGCATTCGTATGTGAACGTCTGCTATTCTAACTAAAATTCAGCATGTAATAGTTAATATTACACAACAATTGCCACAGCAAAACGTAAAGAGTAAAGAAATCCATTTCATCATATTCCATGCAAGTAAAAGTATGATCTATCATCCCGAAAAATAAGCCAGTTCCAGTGCACAGAGATATTTTCCTGAATTCCCGTCCAATCGAAATTGTGGAGCACTTTAAGTGTCTCGGCGTCCTGTTTTCCGCAAATATGTCGTGGGATGATCATATAAACTATTTAGTAGGCCAAATAGCTCAGATAACTGGAATAATAGGTCATGTTAGATATCTTCTTCCCACTAGAATCAAGTTACTTCTGTATAGTTCACTCTTTTATTCCCATATCAATTACTGTCAACTAGTGTGGGGGACAACCACACTTTCAAACTTACAACTTGTTTATTTGGCACAAAACAAAAAATGTCTTCGACATATTTACAGCGCGCCCTACAGAGCTTCATGTGCAAACTTTTTTACAGTTCCCACGTGATCCCATCATACAACCCAAATAAATATCGATTGAGTGTGCGGTATAAGTTGGGAACACAGAGGAATATAAATAATATACGTAATGTGGCACTACTACAAATAAGAAAATTGAACTATACTACAAGACATGGGGAGGATTGGGTAGTAGCTACACCTTGTTTAAACTACAGAAAAGAATGCCTGTGCTACACACTTCCGTCATTATTAAACGCCTATCAGCTTGTGCATTTTGATTTGTTTGCCTGAAAGTACAGTGAACTCCGTGCCATGTCTGTAACCATGAAAGTATAATTTTTGTTTTTTATGCCGATATACCTTTGCGTTTTCGTGGCCATTATCATTCTTATGTTCATTCTTCCCGCCGTTGTGCTGCTTAGTTGCCATTAATACAGGGACTGTAGGCTCGTCAAACTGCGAAGCGCAGTTTTCTTTTCTGCGGCCCCTCCTCTGTATTTTTTACAAGGAGGAAAATAAACACATTTGATTTGATTTGATTTGATTTCGGTTTGCCGACTTTCACAGACGTTTGAATTGCCACCTTGCGTGTAGGATTTCGCTCAATCAATGCATTCACAGCTGCTAGTCTTTTTTTTGTTCTTAGATATTTTGTTGACGTTTTTGTTTTTTTTTAATTGTGACAACTGCAGTTTTTATTATTACTAAATGGGTTCCTCCTGTTATTGAAAAGAGTCGTAGCAAGAGCGTTGTATGTTTGAAAGCGCATAACATTGTAGTCGCTGGGGAAAGGATGCTTGTTTCGGTTCCGTTTGTGTGAAAGTCATACCGGTTCTGTTATCTTGGTTTTCTTTTAATGAAAATTGTGAAACGATTGTATTAGCGCGTTAACTTGCCTTAATTTTTCTTTTCTTCCCGGTTTTTCGATTGAACAGGTGGGACTAACAGTCAAAACCGTGTAAGGCGCAGAGGTGCACGTGGATGATTCGTAAAAGGGATCACAGTTAAAAAATGAGACACGCGCAAAATATAAAAAAATAAGACGTTCCTAGCGCGATTTGAACCCGGAACTTTCCCGCGCGACGACAAGTACTGGCGTTCTAACCTTCTCGACTACACTAGGGGGCGCGAGCCGCCGGTGCTGGCGGAGATATATACATATACTGCCACCGCATTTATCTCGCGTGGTTTTTGCTTTATTTTGGCTCATATTCACCCATCCTGGCCGCAACTTTACCTGCCGCTCTTACAGTATAAAGGGGCGGTCAATTGGACTCCAGTTGAAAGTCCCTGCAGTCAGTTTCAGCGAGCGAAATTAGGCTTTTCTGCTTGAAGCGATGCAGATTTCTCCACCATTCGGCAGGGACGCTAGGTACTTCCTTGTCCCCATGGAGCTGGTCACGTGACAAAAAAAATCCCTCTTGGCCACAGCCGCGGCCGCGGCCGCAAGATGAGCAAACCACCCCTAGTGTCACCGCTTGCCAGCAAGCCGAGCGGGAGACTATCTGCAGCTGCAACGCGCGCGCCGTTGCCACCTATATATATCTTACACCGTGGGTGCGTCAAACACGAGCAATCAAGATTTGTGCAGGATTACACTTTAAAGCTGCTGCTTTCAAAGAATGTTCAAAGGCAGCACCAAGACGCCTAAAAAGACAACTTCCGGTAGAAACGCTAACTTTAGCTAGCTTCAACATGATCACGCGTGCGTGGAACTGGGCTTTTATAGTAGGGATAAGTGGTTCAGGCTCCTATTGTACAATCAGAAAGTGTCCACACCTTGAGCGCGAACTCGAGGTTCACTCCAGAGAAGGCCCGAGCCAGGCTCAAAGAAATCATGAGGACTCCCTTGAAGTTCGACCAGGCGATGATGAGACACTGCTTCCAGCTCAATTCGTAGCCGACGGACGCAAGGATCGGGTACACGACGACGGTCGTGATAAACCTGCAATTATAGTGAATATCTCGAAATTTGACAAAGTTGGCCTGGCATGTATTGCCTCGAGGGGTCTCTGAAACAAAAGCGGGAAGCATGCACTTTTCAAAAGAAGCGGGAACGCGTTGTTCCATCATTTTGGTTTAGACATCCTTGTTGTCAAAAAGAAAGACGGAGAAAATTAGGAGGGAGTGTGCGGGTGACGTCGACTTAGTCGTTAGAAAGATGTAACTCATGAAAGACCATTGAGAATGCCACTCTCCACCTGCTTCTTGGCCTTTACCTCCTCTACACTACTATCTTGCCTGTGATTGGTTGCGCCCAGTGGTTTTGTCATGCACACATTCCAAAACCACACCCAAACACCCACAAAAAAATGAAAGCCGTTTACAACACTTTGTAACGCCGAAGTAGAGTGCAGCACTTGAGAAGGAGGAGGGAAGGGTAGTGAGAGGAGGGTATACCCCTCCCCCTCCTCCTCACCTCCTCATCCTACCCGCTACTACTCCCCCCTCTTCCTCCTCCTCCTCTTCTTGAAGCTCTTCATCTCCTCTCCTTCTCCCCTCCCTATTCCCCTCTCCCTCTCTACATTTCCCTCCTCTCCCTCACCCTTCCCTCCCTTCCCCCTCCTCCCCTCTCTCCTCCTTCCCTCCCCTCGTCCTCTTCCCCCTCCTTCCCGCGCGGTGCATTATGGGCAAATATCCAATAAAGCACCGCGCGGTTACGCCGACGGCGACGGCGACGCCGCTCAAGCCGGAAACGGGCGCCTAAGAGCTGCGCTCTAAAAAAAAAAACGTGACGGAGCAGAACGCGTCGGGAAATATCCCAGCTAAAAATGCACTCTTCCTGCTTCCCGCTTTTGGAATGAAGATCCCTTAAAGGGCACCTGAAACGAAAATCAGTTTTTTTAGGCAGGCTGGGTGGGACACGCATGTCAAAAACAGGAGTTTTACGGGAATTTTTATTTCAGAGGAGTATTGATAGTGCGAGATTTATTTTAAATTATGCGCGCAAAGTCCATGTTGTCACGGAATGGTCCTACACTCTTTCCACCTCAACGAGATAGTCATACTCCCTCTCCCCCTCAACATGATGGCCAAGACGATCCATCTCTCTTCCACGCGCCCGAAAAGCCGACAGTGAAAACAACAGGAATGGAGGTATCTTCCGACTTAATCGCATCTCGCGCCGTTAATATTGCTCTAAAAAAGGTTTTTCGCTGAAAACTTGTCTCTTTTGTGTGACGTTATGGGTGACCTAAAAAGAAGACATGTGACGTCAGTATCCTATTAAATTTAGGGGGGCAGCTGAATTCATCTTGGAGGTAACGTGCCGTCAAGTTTCTAGCTAAATTTAGCGGGGAAACTGGGGGAGGAGGAAAGTTTATGGAGGAGGAGGAGAAGAGGAGAGGAGGGGGAAGGGAGGAGAGAGGAAAGGAGGAGGAGGCGAGGAGCAGGAAATGAGGAGAAAAGAAGGAATAGGAGGAGAGAAGGAAAGGATGGGAAGAGGAGGGAAGGAGGGAGGAAGGAATAAGGAGGAGGAGGAAAAGCATACCCTCCCCTCCTCCTCCACAAGCGCTGCGCCTAGTTTCGCATTACAGAGATCCGGGAACGTCCTTTATTTTAGAACACAGCTCTCAGGTGGCCGTTTCCGGCTTGAGTGGCGTCGCCGCCGCCGTCACCGTAACCGCGCCTTGCATTATATGAGGTTCCCATATTGACGTCACACGTGACGTCACATAAGACGTCCTGAGTGCAAATTTTCCCCGCTTAATTTGGTGGGAAATTTTCCCGTTACATTAAGCGCCAAGCTTAGCGGGGCAATTTTATCCTCGTGACGTTACACGTGACGTCACGTGTGACATGATGTGTGACGGGACGAGGGCAAAATTTCCCCCTCTAAGTTTTGCGGGAAATGTTTCCACTAAATTTTGCGGGAAATTTTTACGCTAAGTTTAGCGGAAAAATTTCCCGCCAAATTTAGGGTAAAAGTTTTACCCTCATAACTTCACACGTGACGTAACTTCTGACGTAACACGTAACCTCCCCCTTTGTATCCACCCCTTCTCTTCCTAAAGAGCTGCCCTCTAATTCGGCATTACAGAGAATTGTAAACGTTTTCAATATTTTAGCCAGTTTTATTCCGCGATTTAACTCACGTTTTACGTCCGCGTTGTGGGTCGTTTGAAATTCCCGCGCGATGTCACTTGGCTTTGACGTCATAATCCAATAAACCAATCCTGGATTTTCGCGTCACACCACCGACATAAGCTTTTCTGTGACGCAAGTTCCTTAGGGCTATCACGTTAGAACCTTCGTTTCCATTGACAGGTATTTAACCACCTAGCCCCGACAAAGTAGCCCCACCCTTTTTCATCATTCAATGGGTCGCCGAGAACGCTAAGGGCCTTGGAAGCCAATCCAATGCTGTACTCGTAGCCTCCGCTGTGGTCCATCTCAAGGTGAAACGGCGTATGGGCAGCTGTATTACGGACGAGTAGCAGTCCTTTCTTTCGCACTTACAGGTTTTCATACGACCCCATTCTTCATTCAGAGTGAATTCCAGAAATCGCAATTGTTCTGTGTTTATCACTGTCACCCTATTGAGGAAGAAACAATATAAAAAATACGACCCATATCGACCCATACCCAAGAAAAACCGAGAAATCTATAAAAACCCTGGAAATTATGCAGCTCTACCCGCAGACATCACAATTTCAAATGGTCGAAGATAAACCCTCTTCGCTCATGCACGTATTAAACGCACAAACACGGAAACTAATTGCGAGTGATCTGTGCCCCATCTATTAAAATAAAATGTCACTAATTAAAAAAAAATTATTAAACATAAGAAGAAAACGATAGCATTTATGTGCCATAACACGGGGAAAGTGTGGTAAGCGACCATGGACAAGCATGAAATTGACCTGGGCGTTCTTCATTGGGAAAAAAGCATAAAACATTAGATATGGTTCTTTAAAGGGATGCTGAACCGAAATCTGGATTCCACAAAACACGCGGCAAAAGCGTGCAGCGGGATGCTACAAACATCAAAACGTCACGCATACAGCGATATCTCGAACGGATGACCGTATTTTTCATAAAAAGGAGCCGCATTTGGCACAAATGTTGACGTCATGTTTCTCCAAGAAGGAGAGGGAACGGCCTCGCGTCTTCTCCGCCTCGCCGCCTTGAGGGAGCGAAGCGAAGAGAGGAGGAAACTAGGTACCTTCACGGTCACGCGCCTCGTCAGCCTGGTTCAATCTCGACCGCTTTTTCCAAAAATACGGCCGTCCATTCGAGATATCGCCTTACGGGTAGTGTTGTAGGAATTGTAGCGTCCCACCTACATCTTCTGTATTGTTTTTTCTGAAATTCAAATTTAGGTTCTCCATCCGTTTAATACGGTTTTATGAAATACTAGTCGTATACCGCTGCATATTTTTTTTATTGTTTCTCAATAGGGCAGTTTCAGTGCATCAAAACCGCTTACCATCAAGACCAAGTTCACAAATTAGCAATTCCAACGTTTTGCTCTCTTTGCAATCTCTACTCTGCCATCCTCTAGCTTCCATCTAGCCATAAACTGCATGCAAGTTTTCGAACAAGATATAACACAAATGACGAACAGTATAACATTCAAATCACCAAACCTTTGTTATATTCGCACTGACTGATCTTTTGTTCAAGTGAAAGTTAAACATCTGCTCGAGGTCATGTTTTCATGCGATATACACTGTTAAAATACGTAACTAAAGTTGTTAAATTGAGGCTTTCTGAAATGATGAGACCCGAGGAAGGTACATACCAGCGACTTAACTGTTTAAATGAATGAAAAACGCGAATATTTTGTCATGTTTTGTTTACCCAAGTCTTCCCGAAATAAAATCTGAATCATCTTTAGCAGTAATGTGTGACACGAAACATAAATCCACAAACGCGGGATTCGCTTCTTCCCCAAAAGCTGCTGCGTTAAAAAACGACGTTTCAATGCCACACCACGTACATATGCGTTGTTATGTAGCGTTATTTGTCGGATACGGTTAAAAGCATATACTGCCGACTTGCATAACAATACCAACAATTTATAAAACGTTTCGTCTCCTATGCGGAAGACATCAGTGCAGCCTAGGAACACCCGACCAGCTACCAGCGGTCCAACGCTTGCTTCTTCCTTATCTTCATCCGTAGCGCTGTTTCTGCTGACGTCTTCCTCCATGACATACGGGAGACATCGTATGGATTGATCATCATTGCTGGTAGCTAGTAGGGCGTTCCCAGGCTGCACTGATGATGTCTCCCGCATAGGAGACAAAACGTCTTATAAATTGTTGATATTGTTATGCAAGTCGGAGGTACTTGTTTTTAATCATGAATCCAGGCTTTTGGAACATTTTTGCGTCGAATACGGTTATGTCAAGGCGCCGCTTTGGCAGTTGTGCGGTTAAAGCCGTAGTACTTTGACGTGAGCTCTCATGACCCGTTCTGTTCTGACGCGTCTCTCAAATAAGCACGTTTGCGGAGTTTTAACATTTATATTTTTATACCGCGATGTTTAAGCGTTATTTAATTAGTAAACAAGTAACGCTATCCTCATGATCATGAATCCGTAACCGGGTGAATGAAAAAAAAAAAAAAAGACAAGCGCACACAAAATTCGAAAACAGCTTCTAATTTTAATTCACAAAGTCGCATTGATATATTTTCCCACTTTGGGGTTTATAATTACGGAATTAGTTAACCGAATTAATTCACTATTTTTGGCAATTGGTTATTTAAGAGCGCCACATATTTTCTTTTTTTTTTAATCTCGACTGCTTTCTGAAGACAGTTTAAGTATTTGCTCTGTTAGACAATTACACAATGCCGAACAATCCAGCGGAGCATACGTGGTAAACCTGTTTTTATACAAGAGAAAGTCCGCTTATATACATGAACATTTAATGTACAGAAAATGTTTATTATATAATGGAGCCTTCATACCACACCTGTAGTAAAACCCTCTTTTCATAGGTTCGGAAAAAGTGGAGTTGATTTTTAAATACTGCCATGTTTTCTCGGAGCACCCGCAATCTACTTTGTTGACCAGATGCGCTTTCTTGGGACAATTTATCTACTTGAAATCCTTTTGATCGTATTGTTCTCTCATTATACAAGTCTTTATCAGTATTTTCCCTTGCTTTAGTTGAAAGTATTTTGAACATTTATGTATATAGTTTTAGATACCTAGGGCAATCCGAGCTTTTACAATACGGAGATAGCCAAAGGGCTAGTCTGAAATTCCTACGTGCTACCTAATATGACCAAAAACGCTTAGCTTGGCTGTCTACTTACTTTTGCAATCGAAGAGAGTTTTAACACGTGATTCTGTACTTTTCAATTGTCAACAAAGCTCTAAGAGGCCTAAAACTGTTACGAAAGCTCCCACGACGTACCTGACTCCTATCTTGGCAACGTAGAAATTGATGGGGTACAACACGTCGCTCCAGTTCAGGTACTGGAGAGTGTCTCGACCAATCATGTATGAAGCCAGGAACACGAGTACCGTGTTGTACACGAACCTCACTAAAACCCAGAACCTGAAGAAGAGGGAGGGAAAGCTCATGTGGGGTGATCTGTGGTTTTTAGACACTGGTGATCATGCGCGTCATGTTTGAGCCACGACCACAGCCAGCGCTGAGATTCGAGCAATACAACCGAGGAGCTCCAAAACTGCACCGTCACGGTACTTTTCGTCTCTTGTGCGTTTGCCGTCACCGGTTAAACCAATCCCGTGCAGGAAGAAGCGGAGGGTCATTGCAACTTCACTGCTCGAGATTGGTTTAGCCAGAGTTGGGAAACGCACAATGACGGGCGCCATGAGATTGCACTTCTGACGCTGCATCATTAGGTCCATCGGAGCGTAGCCTTGGCTGCGGAGAACTCAATGCAAAAAAAAAAAAGAAAATTTTAGCGCGCGCAGGGCCAAGCAAACAGCGCCCAGTCACGGCATTCAAGAAGATTCGCGTTTATTCTTACTCGGGGTGTAACTTTGATCATTTCACCCTAGTTTCTTGATGTCGAAAGTTCGCGTGCATTCTCACTCTGAACGCTCGATGCTCGAACTTTCTCGGTCGAATTTTCGCGATGCCAACGCACGCCAGTCTCGCTTTCGCTCGCTGTTAGCCCGCCAAATCGCCGCACGCTTTTCTGCTGCCTCGACGCTCGTCTTTTATTTAGTTTGGCAGAAGTTCGCCGATTACACCTGTATATTTAGTTCACGGTTAATCCTCTCGTTGGAGTCCTTCGTGACATTTCTGCTGAAGGTGCAGGGTAACCGAGCCTACGAAGGGTACCCCACCGAGGTATCGCAGCGCAAGCTCACTAGCCGGTTCGTGAAGACCGTCCATGGAAATGACCTAGGCCCGAGAAAGCCGCCGTGTTCAGGGTGTGCCCCGGCATTTAGTCTACTGCCGGAAAAGGCACACCGCCAGTCGAAGAAGCCGGCGATGAGCAACCAATCGTTGCAGACTCCCGCCGCTGCCTCCCCCGTCTTTTACCTGCCCAGTGCCCCTCGAACTCCGAAGACCTTCCAGGGCGAGATCTACGTAATTGCGAACATCTGTGCGAGTGCAGGTTTTCCTGCTCTCTCCAAGTTACAAATAGTTTTGTCACATTCGGGACATCTTAAATACGTTTAAGAAATCTAACCTTCCAGGCGGTATCTATTTAGGGCTAGCGAATAATTTGCCTGAATATCCGAGGGAGCGTTCAAATCTGTGGGCACATGCCACATCGAACAGGCGCCCGTATCAAACGGATACCGTATCAAACGGGTACCGCATCAAACGGGTACCAGATCAAACGAGTTACATTTTAAACGGGTAGCCAATCCTATATTAAAGTTTAATCCGAGCGGGTCGACAGCTTTGCCACCTGTTTGATTCAAACGGGTCAACTAATTTGCCACAGGTTTAACATCAAATTATTTTTTTTCAGTAAACTACGCTCAGTTTCGAATATCACTGGTAAAATGTTTCACGCGACATCATTCTATTGTGATAATGCAATTAATGCAAAGGCGCAAGCCAGCTGGACAAAAAAAAAAGATAATGACCCTTAGAGAAGAGAAGAAGGGAGACAAAAGGCAAACAAAAATCTTTAATCACAATTAGGTGACTGGTGCTCGAGCGAAATCGTCGAGCTTCGCTGCGAAAGGAAAGGTCCCTGGTTCGATACCAGGACCAGGCGGATATTTTTGTCAGGCACCAGGCACCTAACTGTGTTTGGGGATTTGTGTTTGTCCTTTGTCCCCCTTTCCCACTTTTCAAAAGAATATTATCATTGTCATTCCATCGCATTGTTTATTCCTCTTCGTAGTTATATCTTCATTTAATCAACGTAAAACTTATAAAAAAGATATGCTCACTGTTAGGAAGAGAACGTCATTGGTGGCCCTTCGGTTTTCCCACGTTTAGAGTGAGCTTGACAAATTTGATAACACTCATGTGACTCCTGAGCTTTGAGCGGGCGCGCAGTGAAAGCACGACGGAAGCCAACAAGCACACGATGGAGACAGAGCACCCGAATAAAAACGCGCTGCCATTTGTATTGTCCCAGTGACTATACACCGTTTTTGGGTGACGGCCGCCATTGTTGAATTCTGACAGCTGAGTTGGGAAAATAGCAAATCCCTTCATTTGTCGTGGTTCGTGCCAATAGTTGAACTTTGTCCACGGCTATACATGTTTGCAGGTATGCTTAAATTACTTTTTTTATATTTGTGGCTCAGCCAAACCACGTCATATTTGAAAGGTTGTTAGCTTTTATTTAGTTACTCATTTTCCGTTGACCAGTAGGTTGTGGAGTCAGTGATGTTTGACGAGGTCTCTGCCACTTTACTTTTTTTTGCAAGCGAGACATTGCATCTAGAAAAAATGAATCTGGCACGCCAGAAAAAAATACACAGGGATGTACATCAGCTACTCAATAACAAATGAGAAAATAAGTTTTAAACAATAAATTGATACAGTCAAACTAGGAAGGCACATACATAGAAAAGCTTTACAAAACACGTGGAACCAAAAGTATGAAGTATAACCATAACTCATGCCAAACGGAAGATCAGACAGCGATGTCACTACTCAAAAAAAGAGCCCTTATTTCACCTTTAAATTTAAATAATCGATCTGACCGCCAAAAGTGTAAAGGATTTTCGCCACTTGAAATTGTTTTTCTGCTTATCATTATTTGTGGATATTTTGGGATGTCTTTTGATATTTTGTGTAGAAGGATACCTATTTATACTATTTGAAGCAATTTTTGAGAGCTTTTTGTCATGTATTATTTGCAACAACTTAAAATAATAAGCTTCTTAGACTTTACTATGTCATATATGCTTGAAAGTTGGTATGTTGGAAAATCTTCCGCCCTGCACTTGTAGTTTTCACAATTCCATAGTATTGTTTTTTGTAGATTGAGCAGCCGACTTTAAATTACTGACGTCGTTGCGTCATTACTAAGATACAGTGGCATAGCCTGGAATAAAGAAATAATTATATGTATTAATCTTTATCCACATGGGCATATGCTTCTGTACTTTATTTATGCATACAACTACCTCTGATAGCTTAGTGCTTAGCTTGTTTATATTTGTATTCCAATTAAACTCCGAACTGAACCACACGTCAAGGAATTCTTGCCATTTAACTTACTCTATGAGAGCATGACGACAGTAAGAGGAAACTTTTCTATAGGAAACAGAAGAGGATTTTACTTCATGAATTTTGTTCACAATTTTTTTGTTAGAAGCAGCCTGGCGAGTACCGAAGGTGAACATTTCTAGGATTCTTATTTTACTCTGAAATGCGTAATGCACAGCAGCGTTTAAGTGTTATCACGTTTATATTCAAGAAGAAACTGGTGCGTTACAGTTATCTGCATGGCCGCTAAAAAGGGGCGGACATCTTTGATGTGTGTTCACGCGCATGCTGGCTGCGAGCGTAAATCAGATTGCTTTCTCACTCACAAAGCAGTTGTTCATAGCAGACGATAAGTTACTTTACCTGGAGCTCGAGCTGATGACAACATATACACGGCTGCAAAAGAGGCTCCTCTGCGCTGTCCTTTGGAGCGGTGATAGCGCCGCGCAACAATTCCGCCATGTTTGGGTGTGCTCGAGGCCTGCCACTGGAGTGCGCGAATGTGGGTCAACCAGGAATTGTTGTAGCCATAAGGAGTTTCGTGACGAGTGGGCATGTGTATGAGATGGACGGCGTCGGCGGCCAATGGCACACCATGGCTGGGCCCGGTAGTGGCTTGCTGGGCTTGCTCGGGTAATGGTGTGTTATTTCAGTGTGCAGCCTGATTTCTACTTACGAGTAAGCAGTATGCAGTGATTTCCAAAGACGTCAGCGCGACACGCACGTTGGTAGCGGACTTTTTGTCCTTTCGGAAATACACTGGATAGCCGCAGTTGTGGCATAAAAGAGCTCCTGGAGCAATTTGATACGCTTTGAGATTTTAGAAAGGTCTTATAGTTTTTCAGTTAGGTACTGGTTCCGGCATTTTTGTGTACAATTATTCGTGCTCTTTCTCACCCGAAGAAAACACCTGTGTGTTCATGAATATCTTTTAAGAATCTCTAGACGCTCAGTTGTGCTTGCTCCAGCAAATAGTCACCCGGCAAAATTGTTCCAGAAGTAGCGCACGTCCTGGTTGAAGAGTAAGTCCCCTCACCTCGGCACGCGGTTCGAGGTTAAGCCGTGATGCCCTTTTGAACAGGTTTATTCATCAGTAGGCGGCCCAGACGTCACGCCGCTGTCTTGGCGCTGCTATGCGGAGCGCAAGGTCGTCTGCTTCCTTTGCAGGGGTTTTAGTGAAGTCAGAACGCCGAGCTCTGATTGGAAGGATAGTGGGTAAACCTCGAGGTTGCTCGATTTGAGGTCTACCAACCATCCATTATTCAGAGCCAATCAGAGTGTAGCAAGGAAGTTATTCTCATTTGCTAACAAATCGTATATTTACATTATTTACAAAAGAGTCAAAATCTGAAGATCGTGGAACGTGGACTGCGTAGCCCTTCGCCTTGTCATCTCGAGCCCCCGCGTGCAAGTGCTGGTGTTTTTCTCGAGCTGGTGATCTTCGTCTTCTTTACTCGCTGTAGCGTGCCGCTACAGGTACTCCCCCCCTAGCGAGGAGGTGGAGGAGACGAGCGATCAGGTGCTCCTTTGAAGTGTACACGTCGTACTAGGGTTGGAGTTGTGTGTGCTTGGGGTTGCTCGAGATGAGCTGGTTTTATCCTGTCGAGTGAAATTGTATCTTCACGTCCTTTCACGAGCACGGTGAAGTACTTGTCGCCACGTTTTAGAACTTTAAATGGTCCTTCATATGGGTTCTGCAGCGGTCGCTTCACGGCGTCTGTGCGTATGAACACGTGGGTGGAGCGTGACAGTTCCGGGCTGAGGAACCCCTTGCGAGAGTTCCGCTGTCGTGTGGGCACAGGTCGTAGTTTCTCGAATGAGGAACGTAGACGGCTTGCGTAGTCCTCTGCTGTGGTGGTTTCGGTGTTGGTGGTAGGTGTTAGAAACTCACCAGGGATGCGTAGAGGCGTGCCGTACACCATTTCTGCTGTACTGCATCCCAGGTCACTTTTTAGGGACGTGCGTATTCCAAGCACGACGAGTGGTAGAGTTTCCGTCCAAGGCGCGGCTGTCCTTTCGTCTTCAAACTGGCCTTTAGCTCTCTGTGAAACCGTTCCACCATTCCGTTGGAGATGGGGTGATAGGATGTAGTGTGAATATGCTTTGTACCTAGGATCCGCGAGAGGTTCTGGAACAGTCTAGACTCGAATTGTCTCCCTCGGTCTGTTGTGATGGTGTTTGGTGTTCCAAAACGGCTGACCCACATGCTGACGAAGGCCCGTGCTACGGCTTCTGCTGCTATCGATTTGATCGGTGTTGCTTCAGGCCACCTCGTGAAGCGGTCGATGCAGGTCAAAATGTGCCGGCAATCGTCGGCTGGCGGGAGTGGTCCCATTATGTCGAGGTGGATGTTGCTGAAACGACCATCAGGAGGTGAAAACTTGCCGAGCGGTGTAGTCGTGTGCCGACCCACTTTCGCGTGCTGGCATTGCACGCATGTGCGTGTCCAATTGCGGATGTCGGCGTTGATCTTAGGCCAGATGAATCGAGCAGTTATGAGATGTTGTGTGGCTCGAATTCCTGGGTGTGAAAGTGAGTCGATTGCTTCAAAAATAGGCTTCCGGAACTTCTCGGGGACATATGGTCTTGGTTGTCCTGTTGACACATCGCAGACCAATGTTGCTTTGCATTCCGGAATCTTTATGTCTTGTAGGTTCAGTGACGTTGTTTCCCGCAAATGTGGTAGTGTTGTATCCGTGCTCTGCGCTGCTGCTAGTTCTTCGTAGTCGACAGCGTTCCGTTCGGTAGAGCAGGTGTTCACACCAATTCGAGAGAGCGCGTCTGCTACGGAGTTGTCTTTGCCTGGTACAAAGCGGATGTCCGTCGTGAACTCCATGACGTAAGCCATTTGCCGTATCTCTCTTGGCGTGTGCGTTTCACTGCTAGATGTTAAAGCATACGTCAGCGGCTTGTGATCAGTCATCACAAAAAATGTTCGTCCCTCGAGGTAGTAGCGGAAGTGTCTGATGGCAAGGTAGACTCCGAGTAGTTCCCTTCTGAAAGTGCTGTAGCGGCACTCAGTGTTTGACAGCTTCTTCGAGAAGAATGCCAATGGCTTCCATGTTCCGTTGATGTTCTGCTGGAGGACAGCTCCGACGGCGGAGTTTGAGGCGTCTACCATGACTGATGTTGGCGCTCCAGCTTTTGGATGGGTCAGCAGTGTAGCTTTTGCAAGTTCCTACTTGATGGCGGAAAACGCTACGTCAGCAGTTGGTGTCCAAGTCAGAACGGCGTTCTTGCTTGGTTTTCCTTGCAAAAGGTCATGCAGGGGCTGGAGGATCGTAGCACACTGAGGAACAAAGCGCCTGTATAAGTTCACGAGCCCGAGAAACTCGCGGAGTTTCTTTGTTGTAGGAGGTTGCGGGAACTCGCGGATGGCTTCTACTCGCTGCGGCAGCGGCCGTATGCCGTGACTGTCGACGCGATGGCCCAGGAAATCCAGGCATACGACGCCGAATGTGCACTTTGCAAGGTTGTAGATCAATCCATAGTTTTCAAGGCGAGAGAGGAGCTGACGTAGGTGGTCTACGTGGTCTTTCGGGTTGTCGCTGAAAATGAGGACGTCGTCCATGTATGCGAAAGTAAAGGTCAGGCCGCGTAGGACTTGGTCGATGAACCTTTGGAAGGTCTGGGCCGCATTGCGGAGACCAAACGGCATCCGCAAGTATTCGAACATGCCGAATGGGGTTATTATGGCGGTCTTCGGAACGTCGGCCGGTTCCACAGGAATTTGGTGGTACGCTTTCACGAGGTCCACCTTACTGAAGATGGTTGCTCCATGCAAGGCGCCGGTGAAATCCTGTATGTGTGGAATTGGATAGCGATCGGGGACCGTGCTCTGGTTGAGGGCTCTGTAATCTCCGCATGGACGCCAGTCGCCGCTCTTCTTTGGGGCCATGTGGAGGGCCGATGACCAGGAGCTGGAAGGAAGCCGGACGTAGCCAAGCTCGAGCATGTGCTCAAACTCTTGCTTCGCAAGCCGCAGGCGATCTGGAGCTAGGCGTCTAGGTCGAGCAAACACCGGAGGTCCCTTCGTCTCAATATGGTGGGTCACGGTGTGTTTCACCGGTACGTCCCTTGAAGTTGGACGAAACACGTCGGGGAATTCGTCGAAGATATCCGTCCATTTGGAGGTGGTCTCCACTTGGGGGAGGCTGGGCGCCTCTTGGACTCCCTTCGCGGATATTCCCTGCACGGTGAGGCGAGTCTCAATGTCGTGAAGCAGTCTTCGCTTTACATCCACCATGAGCGCAAAATGCCGGAGAAAGTCGGCTCCTATGATGGGTTGAAGAACGTCGGCGATTAAGAAAACCCACCGAAACGTCCGTCTGAGGCCGATGTCGAGAGTGATTGACATTTGTCCGTACGTCTTAATTGGTGAAACATTCACTGCATGTAGTGGCGGGGTGTCTTGTCGATGCCGTCGATCTTCCAGCGTAGGCGGAACGACGCAAATCTCGGCTCCCGTGTCTACTAGGTACCGGACCTTGGTGGTTCGGTCGGTTACATAGAAAAGACGGTTGGACTCCAGGCCGGCTACACCATCCGCCTCTAGTGTGCGGCCTTGCCGTTTCCCGTGAAAGTACACGGAGGTTGGCACTTCTTGGCATCATTTCCGTGACGGTAGTGGTACCAGCAGACCTGGTGTTTTGCAGGAGACTTGCTTCGGCGGCGTTCTTCGTTGGTTCGTCGACTCGCGCTCGAGGATCGGGAGTGACGCATGCGGAGGTCCTTGAGCTCTCGCGTGAGTTGATCCATCCTGGCTTCCATCCGAGAGTTGGAAGCCAGCAGCTGGGCAATCTTGTCCTCCACGGCCGGCGATGGTCGCGCGGCATGGAGTGTAGTGTCATGTGTTTGCACAGCGGAGATGGATGGAAAGCCCACGTCCATGATTTGGTTGGGCATCCGAGCCAACGTGGCGGTGGAGTCGGTGGTCGATGTACTTAGTATCATGCGGACTGGTTGTGGTAGCCTCTGGAGAAAAAGTTCTCGGAAAATCGTTGTCTCCATGTTCGGTGCTTTATCTCCTAGAAGCTGTTCCATGCGTCGTAGCAGTTCTGTCGGCTTCCTGTCACCTAGTTCTTTTGCCGTCAGGAGTTGCTGCAGCCTGCGGTGTTCCGACTCTGTTGTTCGTCGGATGAGTTCACTCTTCAAGTATTCATAGGGCTGGTCTTCTGGTGGAGCGCGAAGGATGTCCCGAACGACTGCTGCCGATGACTGCGGCAGGGCGGAAATGACGTGGTCGAACTTCGTCAAGGACGATGCTATCTTGTTCTTTCGGAACTTCGATTCAATCGTGAGGAACCAGAGTTCCGAATCGGCAGCCCAGAATTCCGGTAACTTGAAGTTGACCGCAGCGATCGCAGGCGTTGTTAGGTCGCCCAACGACGCGGAAGCTTGAGTGACGCTCATCATTCCAAATGAGCGCAGATGTTCCAAGACAAACTCACTGGTTGATAGAAGCCACATGTCGGGTAGGAGGGCTTGTTCCGAGTCCGGGTCACCAGTTTGTAGCAAGGAAGATATTCTCATTTGCTAACAGATCGTATATTTACATTATTTACAAAAGAGTCAAAATCTGAAGATCGTGGAACGTGGACTGCGTAGCCCTTCGCCTTGTCATCTCGAGCCCCCGCGTGCAAGTGCTGGTGTTTTTCTCGAGCTGGTGATCTTCGTCTTCTTTACTCGCTGTAGCGTGCCGCTACAAGAGCTTGGCGTCCTGACGTCACCATAACCCCTTCGAAAGCAGCAGACGAACTTGCACTCCGCATTGACAGGGCGCATAAGCAGTCGCTCCACTTCACGCCAATATGGTTTATGCGCAGGAGTAGTGACGACACCTGGTGCGGGGTAAGCGCATTTGTCCACACCTCGTGTGCGCTTGTTTGTAAAAACGCGTTCACCTATAGTCCAACTTAAGATTAACTTTTAAATGAAATATCTCCCAGTTGCTCGCTGGCTGCCCCTTTGTAGAAGGACGACTAATTTTGGAAGAACAAGTTGCCCCCTTTTTATTTGCGGTCACCAGTTTTCCTGTCACGGTTTGTTGACTTTGTACAGTTGAGACGGGTAGACTAGCTCATGACCGTGAACAATGCCAAATTACAAGGTACACTACAACTTTGTGATAAATTATTAATGCCGAGACTTCCTGGTGTCGGTGATGCAGTGAAGACTCGTAAATAAAAGCATCTGTAAAATGTTACCGCAATATGATTTGACGAGGCGCCGAAAGCAAACACATACCTTACGAAGCCCGCGACGTTCCGTGTTTTAAATTTGATATTGAGCCATATCTTGTGTGTTAGTGCTTAATAACTGCGTAATAAAACTCGTAAAAGGAATTATATTAGTGGGAGGGATTGTGGAGGCTCTGCTAGCAGACTACAGAGATGGCCCCCGTCTGAAGGGGTTGCCAGCCCTGCAACGTTGAGGCACTATTGTTTCACCTATCATAAAACATTTTACACCAGGCAATTTGGCGGATAAAAAAAAAAAAGATTGAGAGTGGTAACTGTTGGCTAACTGATTTAAAATATTCTTTTTTTAACAAAATATTCATCTGTGTTGCGTGAATAAATCACCCACTTTTTCATAATGATCGGGTTGTGAATCGTGGACGTGGAGTGGGCGTTGGTGGTCAGCGCAACCGAGATGATGGTGGTCACACCGCAGCCGTAGAGAAACTTTTCGGCGAAGGTCCAGGTGGCCATGATGGCGGTGATGCTCACGACGAAAGCCACAGGGATATCCTGAGACAGTTTGATCAGGAGGTACGCCAGGAGGTGTCCCACCAGTTTTCCCAGCAGGGGCCCCACCGCCAGCGTGCAGGCCAGGGTGTAGGCGATGCCTGAGGTAGGACGCTTAGAATGAGATGGCGGCTTGCGTCATCTTGAACGTCTGTATGGAAGTTATACCTAACAAATGGTTTGAAGATAACCGGTGCTCCTTGTAGCCACAAGTACACATCGTTCTCCAAATGGCAAGTGAATACGTAATAGCCTGATAACTTTTTACTGGTGGTAGTTGGCACCAATATAAGTTGTCCACTTAATTAGCGGCTAAGTATTATGGTCTTATGCAATCTGAATTTCGAATTCTAATATTGTTCACGAAAAACGCCAGTTTGTAAATAATTTTACTAATTAAAATAGTCAATACCTATGAAATAAATATTGTTACACATAAGGAATAAAAAGTAAATAAATTGGGTTTAATATTTTAATTTGAGCAAAATCTGTTTCATGAAACCTGTTGTGCAGGTTTGACAAGTTCACACTTCGACTGTTGGATCAACCCACTTCGACTGCTGGATATCTGAAGCGATCCTTCCAGCTCACCGGTCGACCAGTCAGCTATAGCTGATCACTACTAGGGCTACATGTTCAGGCGTAAGCACACGAATCTCAAATGGGATAAACCGCTTATTTCGGCAAAATCAGCGATGCGTGTAAGCAGCAGTATTTTTGATGCAACGTGAGTTTTCCTTTCGAGACTGCATTAACCGATAGGCCAGTTCGACGGGTATAAAGCAAGTCAACATTTCTGGTGTGGTGAGCATGTTAGACATCGGGTTTCTCTTGAATGTGACTTCGGTCAGAAATAAGAATGTCACCGCGTCGCGAAAGCTGAAAGAGTGTGAGAGGCTTGGGGGACTGCCATTTTCAGTAAAATAAGCCCTCCATTCTTGAAGCCATCTGTACGGTATTTCCTAACCTTGTTTTTAGCCATTGAAGCGTAGAAATGGTAATTGCCCCTATAATGAAGCCAAACCAGCTGAGCAATCAGCGGTCGCGCAGCCATTATCATGAACAATAGTTTTTTTTTTTTTTTTTTTTTTTTTTGCGACGGCAGGTTGTTTTTAGTTTTAAAAGCGGTTTTTCTGAAAATACAATTCGAATACAGGCAAGCTGTTCAACTATTGGCCCGATTATAGTATTCTGAGCCTGCGGTTTGCCAGACAGCCTACAGAGCATAATACTCTTCGAGTGCTTACAAACGATTGTAAGCAAAGTTTAAAAAGAAAAAAAATCAATGTTGTTGAAAGTATGCTAGAATGTGTTTGAAGGACTTAAGAAACTTGCAAGTAATAAGAAAAGCTGAGCGCTCTGCGGTGTGGAGCATTATGCTTGTGGGTATACGTGGAGTGTAATATCATTTATCTGATTCAGTATAAAGGAGTGAATACGAGACTGCACTGAAACAACGTTAGATTAGTAGAACAATTAGAAAACCGAAGGTTTCACCGCTGGTGTCAAAGGGATGCAACGCACTTTTTATTCAACCTTTCTTAAAAGGTATAAAAAAGGCACACAAAAATCAATATGTTTGATCAAGAAGTACATTTTCTGGAACACGTGCTTTACTAATCTTGGATCTTGAATGGCGGAGCGGCAGCTCCAGGAAAGAATTCGAACGAGGGGGTTGTTTCTGTGCCGTATACAGGAATTGCGCCGCCAATGCCGCATTTTTCTGAGGGTGAAAAATCGTTCAGGATTAAATACTCAGTTTGATTTTTCAATACAGCTTAAAATAAAAAGCACCAACGACCTATTCCGAAGGCAGTTCAGGAGCGTTGTATGTGTTGGAGAGGTGGGGTGGGGACTGTCGATCTCTATTGCCTGCCTCAACTCTTTGTTGAAAATCTCCTAAATGTGCGGGGAGTGGGGAAGATGACCCCCTGTTCCGGACGCACTGACGCAGACCATGCACAAAGCAAAAGCCGTCTTAACATGTACATTTGATTTCTAATAGAACACTCGGCGAATTTACTGATGCCTATCTATATTGCGGCGCTTGATATTCTATCAGATTGCCGCTTGCGTAGCTCGTCACGTCGGCAGCACGCTTGGCTCCTCGCAAACGGGCCGAGGTTCGATCCCTTGTAGCAAATATACCTTTTTGTTATTTGTGTAAATGTCACGTACTAGTATATTCGAGGACTATGTTGCTGGTTCGAGGTCCGAATGTTATACGCGCCGAACCTTCTACGCTTAGTGTTCAGGAAGACAACTCTTGGGGGGGGGGGGGGGGGGGGGGGGAGCTACAAAAGGGGTTCCGCGTGTTGAGCCGGAGTCAATCTTTCGCCAGCGCTCGAGCCAGCATCCTCGCCGACGCCGACGTCCGCTTAGTGCTGTCATTCTTTTCAGTAATTACTATCTTGTTTGTAGTGGCACAAGTTCAGCATTAAACTTCAGCTGCTTTAGCTATTCGCCCCCCTCCCCCTTCCGTTTGTCGCTCATGACTATTTGGTCGAGGTACGGGGTAGCGTATTCTATGCCCGTGAAGCGTACCTCCCCAAGCCACGCCGGCCAAGCAAGATACTCAACCCAAGGCGACTGCCTTTCGTGGAAGACGCTGCAATCTTAGAAAAAAGGGTATGGATAGTCCTCCGTTAGGGGAGGAGCGGTCTTGTAGCCTATGTTCCTTTAGAAAGGGAGAAACTTTCGTCCCTGAAGCAGGGGAGCAAAGTTCCTCCGTCGCTTCCATCTCAATATGGCGGCCCCGAATCGAGCAAATCGAGCCCAATAAGGCTTGACGAGGACGCTACATTTCTTGTAAGGGACGAGAGCAGAAGCAAATGAAAGCGTAACACGAGCTTTCCGCAAACTGTGTTTATTTCCGAAGCCAGATTCCCCCCACAGGTACAGAAACTTGCGTTTCGAAACCAGTTACTCAGTCTTCTCGTCGACAGCACTGCGATGTTAAACGGAGACAACCGATACCCAGTTACTTCGCGCACTTTGCGTCTTACCTTTGGTGTTCCTCGAGTCACAATTCCTTTGTCAACCACACATCACGGAGAAGGGCAAACTCAATCCGCGAAATTAAAAGCCGCTCTCGAAAGAACAAACTCGAAGCCGCTGTTTATCGCGTAGCGTGAAAGAAGGTTAAATCGCTAGCCACCAGATGGCGGGGTCAAGCAGAGTAATTGCAAGTAGCTAGGCTAGGTGGCCCTAGGTACCGCCCAATTCATGTTCTACAAAAAATAATTTGCTTTCCTCAGGCCATTACTGCGCCCGGGGCCCCCACTGAACACACATTACGCTTATTACAAGCATCAGGTGAACATACATTGAGCACGTACAAGGCACACACAAATATCAATACGACGGAACACCACAATAACCCGAACACTATACCCGTGGGCTGCGTTTCCGTCTTTTATACTGGTCGTTTTGAACGTACGTAACTTTTCAATGACTCCCTAAGCAATAAAAAATATTCTCAGCATGATGATTTTTTCTCAGCAATGTCATACCTCTGAGAGTATTTCGAATGGCTCAGGGGATGAATCTCTTATTGAAAAGTAAACGCTGGATCATGCCGTAATTATTTGAAAGCCAATAAATCAAGCCGCTCCAATGCGGTTCGAAGCCATGAGTTTGTTTCCCCACACGGCACGTCGTAGCCTGTATTTCTATTGGTTTTTCTATTTGTGCTGTTCGCGCAAAGCTGCAATTGCCGTCTTGAATTAATCTCTGTAGAGCGGATATTCACTCAGCTGGAAGTGATGCTCCACGGGCTGAGAAATCGCTTTTCGATCAAATTGAATGCAGTCAAAGCCGCGACTTGCGGCAGGTGTTAAGAGTACGGAGCTACGCCGTGGCGAGCCCGAAAACTTGTAGCGCTCATCCCAGCGCGCCACGGAGGGCAGTTTCTCCAGGAACCGTCGTATATTGAAACAGCCAAATAAAGGGTAGCTTTTTTTTTTATTCTCGATTTTACCTACTATTGTTTTTTTAATGCCGAAATTCCATACTGTAAATATACGTACTTTCCGTCACGATTTCGTACTGTTCAGTCCTTGCCCCAGAGCGCAATCGCTCTCGGGGACGAGACAATTCCGACAGACACATTGGCCACTGTACGATAGGAGCTTCTACTATTCAGACCAGCGTTCCAACATGACTATCCGCACGTTGATCGATTTCACGTAATCCCTCAAGTGGTATTAAACTTTTTAATGTAAAGCGAAATGTCAACCTGCGACACCCCGCCCCCTCCGATCACGGCCCGACCAGCGGCATCAATGCCAACAGTTTACGATTTTATCTTCTTGTTACACCACTGATACGCGAACACACGGTCACATCGGCGATAATTCCAGTCTTCTGTTCACAACCCACAACACTACCATCACGATGTTGCAGCTATGTTGCTGACACGCACAAACACAGAACCACGTTGAACGCCGGTTGCACTCGGCATCGGAAAACAGAACCGAACTCCGGGGGGAAGGCACCCAGGCAGCCGGCAGCAAAACCTGCCGGTCTTGGACGCAGTTCCTGCGGTTTTCATAACGTCGAAAACGTCGACACAATTCCGCGTGGTTTCGCTACTGTAGTTCCGTGCCGCGTGAATCCTGCAATCCGGAGACGGCCATCCCCCAGTGTACGTGGCGCTACTGGCACTGCTCCGGAACTTAGCTGTTTCTAGCGGCTTCGTTTGCTCGTTTGATAAAATTAGTGATAAAAACGTCAATGCAAGCGAAATGTTCTGCACGTTTAGACTAGAAGACGGAATTACAGGCGGCCTTCGCTGCCGCTGAAGCTCAATCAACTCAACAGCTATTTATTAAACAACGTGCGCGACCTGCTAGAAAAACGAAACCGAAAGAAGATGAGTCGGGAGGGCGAAAGCTTTCTCCCGTCTGCCTGGAGAAGGAGAAAAACGTTTTGTTCCTCCGCTTTTCTCGTGTCCGCTTGGGGGCGCGTCGGTAGAAGGGAGGAAGACGCGCTGTTGCTACTTTTTTCCTCCTTTTTTTCTTAGAGTGTGGAGCCCTATCAAACAGTCGTGCCAGAGGTCAGCCCCCCGAACTTTATCTCTTGACCGAGAACCGAAAGAAGA